GCTGCAGTGGTGTCCAACACTTTGTGACCCTGTAGATCGAAGCCCACCAGGCTTCTCTGTCCATGGAATTCTCGAGGCAAGAATACTGGAGTGGGTTGCTATGCCCTCCTCCAAGGGATCTTCCCGACCCAGGTATTGAAACTGCGTCTCTTAGATCTCCTGCCTTGGCAGGCGGATTCTTTATTACTAGCGGCACCTGGAAAGCCCAATAAAGGCACGCGTGTATATAAATATTTATGAATAAAAAATGTACTCTGTACATCAAGTGGCTGCAAAGTCCTGCCTGGCGCTGTGGTCTCTCCTGGCTAAGTAGCTTCTTCACCTGGGTCTGGTGCAGAGAGGAATTTGAGAGCATCCATTAAGGCCAAGTTTTTGACGTGAGCCTCAGTCGCTCTGTTTGAACCTGCTTCTGACATGGATTGTTCCAGAACAATCACAAGAAATCCTGAGGCTCAGTGACCACTGGAACAAGTTGCACCCCATCATCTGATGCCCTCCCAGATGGAAAGACAGCAAATCCCATGGACCAGCGCTGTCCACAAGAAATAGGACCTGAGCTTGAATGTCCTAGTAGCTCCCCTGCAAAAGCCAAAAGAAACAGGTGAACATAATTTTGTTCCTGTATTTTATTTAACCAGATAGATGCAAAATATTATTTCAACATGTACTTAATATCAGCAGTCTTCTTTTTTTAAAAAATTATTTATTTTTGGCTGTGCTGGGTCTTTGTAGCTGCTCACGGGCTTTCTCTAGTTGTGGTGAGCAGGGGCGTCTCTCGTTGCAGCGCACAGGCTCCTCACTGCGGTGGCTCGCTTGTTGTAGAGCGTGGGCTCTAGACTGTGCAGGCTGCATAGTTGTGCACAGGCTTAGCTGCCCCAGGGCACGTGGAATCTTCCTGGACCAGGGATAGAACTTGTGTCCCCTGCATTGGCAGGCAGATTCTTAACCACTGGACCACCAGGAAAGTCCAGCAGTTTTCTTAACGAGATAGTTTATGTTCTTTTTTTTTCTTTTTTATCACACTAAGTATATGAAATGTGATGTGGATTTTACCCTCACAACACATCCCATTGTGGACCAGCCATGTATAAAGTGCTTAAGAGCCATGCCTAGCCATGTTGGACATCGCGCACTAGCCAATGCCTGACCGGGGATCTGGGAGTATGGCTTCCTCAGAGTTCACATTTAACGTGAGATGGTGTGCCTCCAGGTGACAGCAAAGCTTCACATCAAAAACCTAGACTCTGAAGCCAGACTACAGGGTTCAGACTCTGAAACCTCCAAACTGAAACTCTGGCCTTTCTGCACCTCGGTTTATTCCCCTATGAAAGGAGAATTGGCAAGACATCAGAGGGGGTTTTGTGAGGATTAAATGAATTAATAGATATTTAAGCACTTAGAACAAGACTTGGCACATACTAAGTGCTGTACAAGTGTTTGACTTTTATTATTATTTGGAATTTTGTGAGAAGATCTCTCAACTCCACTTTAAGAGTTGAAGACTGAAAAACTCCCTTAAAGACTCCCCATCCTCGTGGAAATGTCAGAGCATGGTGGACACACCCGACTTCTAACCATCATCTGAAGGACACCTGGACCACTCTGGGCTCTCGAGGGCACGTGCTTTAACATTCCCCACTGGAACAGGTGTGTGCAATCACAAAGCTTTCGACACCTCCCGGTCTAAACTCTGCCACGTATTTTCCTGTTCTCGTTTTTCTGTTTTGATCTGTGTAATGGGTTGAATGATGTGCCCCTGTGCAACCCAAGATAAGTCCCCCTGAGATCTGTGAATGGGAACTTATTTGGAAAAAGGGTCTTTGCAGACATAATTAAGGTTAGGATCTCGAGATGATATCACTGTGGATTATCCAAGTGGTCCCAAAACCCAACGTCAAGTGTCTTTACAAGAGAAAGGCAGTGGAGGGAAGGAGATTCCCTGGAGGTCCAGGGGTTGGGACTCACACCTCCTCTGCAGGGGGCGCAGGTTCAGTTCCTGGTCAGGGAACTAAGATCCCGGATGCCTTGCAGCATGGTCAAAAAATAACAATAACAGATGTGCAAGATCTGTACACTGAAAGCTAATAAAACATTGCTGAGAGAAATTAGGGAAGACCTCAATAAATGGAGAAGTAGATATTAAAAGAGAGAGAACAGCGGAGGGAAATTGGAGACGGATTAGAGAAGATGTGGTCGTGTGAAAATGGAGGGAGAGAGGAGACTGATAGAGTCACAAGCCCAGGAACACCTGGGGCCACGAGAAGCTGGAAGAGGCAGGGAAGGATCTTCCCCTAGGAAATTCAGAGGGTGGTCTAATGGTCTAAGAATCTGCCTGCCAGTGCAGGGGACGCAGGATCGATCCCTAGTCCAGGAAAATTCCACATGCCTAGGAGCAACTAAGAAGCTTGAGTGCCACAACTACTGAGTCATCGATCTAGAGGCTGCGCTCTGCATCAAAAGAAGCTGCCGCGATGAGAAGCCCGGGCACTGCAACAAGAGCTGCCCCCGCCGGCCGGAACTAGAGAAAGTCCCAGCACAGCAACGAAAACGCAGTGCCACCAAAGATAAATAGATGAAAGTAATAAGAAGAAAAGTTAAAAAAAAAAAAAAAAAAGGGAGTGTGACCCTGCTGATATATGACTATAAAAAAAGATTTCATTACAAATCAAAGTAAGTAAAATACACAGAAATAAACTTCAAGAAATAGATGAAAGTAATAAGAAGAAAAGTTTAAAAAAAAAAAAACAGAGGGAGTGTGACCCTGCTGATATTTTGCTTTATAATAGGATTTCCGGTCTCCAGAACTGAGAGAGAATAAATTTCTGTTGTTTTAAGCCACCAAGTTTGTGGTAATTTGTTAGGCAGTCACAGGAAATGAATACAGTCTATTTGAGGGCCTGTCCCCTTACACCCTGAAGACAGAGTTTCTGTGGCTTTCAAATGCTGTCTCAAAGGAGAAAACTGAGGCTCAAAAAGAAGGCAGAGTCAGAATCAGATCTCAGGTCCCCAGAACTTCATTCAAGATCCAGGGGCCACTGTGGAAACTCAGAAGGTATTTTGCCTGTTTAAAAAAAAAATACAGGATGCCTATTGAATTTTCTTTTAAGGCAGTGGTTGAGAACACAAGCTTTTGTTGGAGACCTGGTTTGTTTGCTTCTTTGCTGTGTGGCCTTGATCAAGAGACTAGCCTCCCTGTACCTCGCTTTCTCCTTCTACAAAATAGGAATAACAAGATAAGTCATCTCAGGGACTTTCCGAGCGGTCCATTGGTTATGAATCTGCTTTCCAATGCAGGGGATGCAGGTTTGATCTCTGGTCGGGGAACTAAGATCCCACATTCCACAGGGCAACTAAGCCTGCACGTCGAAACTATTAAGCCCATGTTGCTCTAGGGCCAGCACACCACAACTGAGACCTGATACAGCAAAAAAAAAAAAAAAGTCTTCTCAGAAGGCTGTGATGTGGAGTACATGAGGACTGATCAACTTTGTCATTTGACATCGTCCTGAAAGTCTTTGCAAATGCTATAGGACAAGAAAAACAAATGAGATATAAAGATGGGAAGGCAAGAGATAATGCTACCATCTCAAAGAAAGGCTAAGAGAATCAACAAACTATTTTAAACTGAGAATTAGGCCAGATTGCCTGGCCAATTGATAATAGTAACATTAATCAACTAGAAATTATAATAGAAACAAGCATGGGCTCTAGGTGATGGGGCTTCAATAGTTGCAGCATGTGGCTTCAGTAGTTGCAGCTTGAGGGCTCTAAAGCACAGGTTCAGTAGTTGTGGCATTGGGACTCAGTTGCTTCTTGGCATGTGGGATCTTCCTGGACCAGGGATCAGACTGGCGTCCCTTGCATTGCAAGGTGAATTCTTAACCACTGGACCACCAGGGAAGCCCCCAAGCATTTCTCTTGACTTCCCATCACCCTCTGATCTTCCCTGGACAACTGAGATCACTTCCCTACTGGGCTTCCGGCTTCCATCCTTGACCATTCTCCACTCAGAATAAAATCCAAAATTCTTACCATGGCCTTTGCAATCCTACATGATCTGGTCCCTTGACTGCCTGCTCTTATTTCTTGCCATTCTCCCCCTCACTCGGTGTGTTTCATCTTTGTAGGCTTAGCAATTTCCTACCACAGGGGCTTTGCACAAACTGTTCCCACTGCCTTGAAAACTCTCCTCCCTTCACCTAGCAGATTGCCAGTCATCCTGTAGATCTCTTTAATGTTTCTTTGACAGAAAACACTCTCCCGCCCTCCCATTTTCCCACCTCCAGTTAAAATGATGTTTCATACTCTTGTCTTTCATATAACACTTAGGTATGTATGACTATTAGTTCAGTGATTCTTAAACTTTTGGTCTCAAGGTCGCTTATGCTCCTAAAAAGTAATGAGGACTGGACTTCCCTAGTGGCACAATGGATAAGTCCACCTGCCAGTGCAGAGGACATAGGTTTGATCCCTGGTCCTGGAAGATTCCACATGCCAAGCAGCAACTAAACCCACGAGTCTCGCTGCAGCTACTGAAGCCCGAGTTCCTACAGCCTGAGCTCTGTGACAAAAGAAGCCACAACAATGGGAAACCCTCGAAACGCAGTGAGGAGCGGACCCCGCTCGCTGAAACTAGAGAAAGTCTGGGCATAGTAATGCAGACTCAATGCAGCAAAAATAAAAATAAATACATAAAAAGTAATGAGGACTCCAAGGAACTTTGGCTGATATGGATTATATCTATCCATATTTACTGTATTAGAAATTGAAGCTGAGATATTTAAAGATTATTTATTGGGTTCATTTAAAAATAATTTTTAAAAAATCAGGTTAACATAAATCCTATATTTTAAATTGAAAACATATTTTGGGGAATTCCCTGGTAGTCCAGTGGTTAGGACTCTGAGTTTCCACTGCAGGGGGCACAGGTTCGATCCCTGGTCAGGGAACTGCGACCCCACAAACCTTGAGTATTGCAAGAAAAAAAAAAAGCCAACCAACAAATGAAACCAACTGTACTTGAAAGAAAGAGAACATTTAGTAAGAAGAGGGGCAGTGTTTTACAGATTACTTTAATGTCTGGCTGGTCAGAAGATAGCTAGGTCTTCTCCTCTGCTTCTGTGCTCAGTGTGTTGAGATATTTTGCAGGTTGCACTGAACATTTGAGAGAGAAAGTGAAAAAGGGAGTTAAGTGTGAGCACTATGATAATCATTTCGACCCTGGGGACCTCAAGAAAGAGTGCTGGGGAACCCCCCAAGGTTCCGTGGACTGCACTTTGAGAATCACCCCTTACCTTTTCGTCCTATAGGAACTAAACACATTATCCTGGGAGCTGACCATCTCTGGGGCCAGGGTACCTGGTTCAGGAGACAGTTCTGAGGACATGTATTCTTTGAGCCTCAGTTTCTTCATCGCTAACATGGGGTTGGGCTTCCTAGATGGCTCAGTGGTAAAGTATCCGCCTGCTAATGCAGGAGCTGCAGGTTCGATCCCTGGGTTGAGAAGATCCCCTGGAGAAGGAAATAGCAACCCACTCTTGTATTCTTGCCTGGGAAATCCTGTGTGCAGGAGAGCCTGGCAGGCTACAGTCCATGGGGTCACAAAGAGTCGGACCGACTGAGTGACTAAACAAAAAAGACAGCAACATCATGAGGTTGGTGATGATGAAAATAATAAAAATATTTCCCTCCTAAGGTTGTAGTGAGACCCATAGGAGATAACTGTCCGACTCACACCTGGCATGTAGCATACAACCAACATTTGCGGTGATAGTTTGGGGAATGTCATTTTATTTTATTACCAACAGTTTTTATTCATGCAGTTAATTTCTCCAGAGGCCTATCTTATGTTGGGAAAATGGTGATGACTGAGAAGCGCCTGGCCCTACCCTCATGGGGCTCCCAGCCCAGTGGGTCAGAGTTTTAATTTGAGGGATTGCCCTTAGCACCAGGTCTCTGAGGAGCATGAGTTCATAAGACTGGGGAGGCAGGGAAAGGCTTTCTAGGGAGTGGGAACAGCATGCAAGGAGCCATGGCAAGTGGAGAAGGGGACAGCTGTGAGCCAGGGGTTTGGCTCGGTTGTGTCCATTTTTGTGCCCCCAAGACGCCTCAATCATGTTGCTGGTGATAAATACGTGTGTATATCTGGTTCATCTCCCCTCCTTCCCAACCCCTCTTCTTGTATAAAGTTAGTTCCTTGATTCTGGGCTCTTTGAGGGAAGTCCCACCTGTGATCTAACTTCAGTCTCTCGTGCTGCAGATCCTCCTTTTTGCTGTGTATCCAACCAGAGTGCCCCGTGGAAACCTGGGACGTCCCAGCAGAAGAGGTGCCCGGAATGGCGCGGGGTCGAGTCCAGCGCCTCCACTGTCCCCCATTCGGGGGCCGCCGCTCCGGGCCGGGTGAGTCAGCCCCCGGCGGCTCCCGCGTCATCCCGGCCGCTCGGCTCGGCGCTATTTCGGGTTCCGGGCTCTATAAATAGAGGCTAGCGGAGCTGAGCCGCTCCCCCTCCGCTCGGGCCCCCCTGCGTCCCCGGCCCCGCCGCGATAGCCGGGCCGCGCGTCACCGCGGCTAAGTTTAGAGGCGGGTGGGGACGCTGGCCGGGTCACTGCGCCCCTCGGCCACGCCCTCGCTTCCAGAGCCTTCGGTCCGGCGGCAGTCTCTTGGGCGGCATTAGGGGCGAGGTGTCCTTATGTTCACCATCCTCACCCTAGTCCTTTGGAGGTTCAGAGGAAGTCGAAGTTGGGGTTAGGGGAAGGTTTGGGAATGGGGCAAGGTCTGGACTCCGAGGAGTTGCCCAGGAACTTCGGTTGGGGCTGGACTTTGGAGTATTTGGGAAGAAGGATGGGGAAATGAATACAGTACGGACAGCTGTTAGACTCGAACTCGCAATTCTGGGAGCTGTAAAGATTCGAATTCAGGATCCGAAAGTTCAACTTGGGAACTGAAAGAAGGAATCCAACTTGGAAAATACACTGTAGAATTGAGAGCAACTTTCTCCCCTGTCAGCTAATCAAATAGGCTCAGAGTTAACCTGAACCGCGCTCCGCGGGGCCTTTGCTGCACTTCAGCGAGAGAGAAACGGGTCGGGAGATGGGAAGGGACCGCCCGCCGCCTTCGCTGGGGGGTCTTACCCGAAGGTGGGTACCTGTTCCAGCGCCCCTACAGCTCAAATCTTCTTGTGGGATGCCATCGCCCCCTGGCGGAAAAGACACGAGTTGCAGGTTTCTTTGGTAATTTCCATTCTCCCTTGGGAGAAACTGAGTCCCGCCCAGGCTGGCTTCCTTCCAGAAACCCTCTCTGCCCTTGGATTGAGAGACAAATTTTCATAGGCCATCTCCGTGTCACTGGGGCCTCAGCTCCTTCATCTGTTAAATAAACTATCGATAGCTACATGCATGCTCAGTCGCTAAGTCGTGTCCGACTCTGCGAACCCCGTGGACTGTAGCCCGCCAGACTCCTCTGTCCATGGGATTTCCCAGGCAAGAATACTGGAGTGGGGTGCCATTTACTCTTCCAGGGGATCTTCCTCTCCAGGGGACCTTCCCAACTCAGGGATGGAATCCGTGTCTGCTGCGGTTCCTGCACTGGCAAGCGAATTCTTTAACACCAGCCCCTAAGAGGAAGGTAATTATGAGGATTTAGCTCATAGTATGCGCTCAATCTACTTTGATAAAAGTTACATCGTTGATGGTGATATATACAAATTCTTTTTTTTCCATTTATTTTTATTAGTTGGAGGCTAATTACTTTACATCATTACAGTAGTTTTTGTCATACATTGAAATGAATTAGTCATGGATTTACATGTATTCCCCATCCCGGTCCCCCCTCCCACCTCCCTCTCCACCCGATCCCTCTGGGTCTTCCCAGTGCACCTGATGGTAATATATACATATTCTTAAATTTATAAAGTTCCTTTTCCTGAGACTGTGTGGTCTCCTCCATCATCTGTTATTCTTTTTTTTTTTTTTTTTAATCATCTCCAGAACATAAATGACTGTCTGGAACTCTTTTATTTGTGTTTTTTTCTTATCGTCTGTCTCCCATGAAACCATTAGCGCCACAGTACAGGGACCCGGTCTGGTTTGCTGTCCGCTGTATCTCCAGTTGGGCTTCCCAGGTGGCGCTAGTGATAAAGAACCTGCCTGTCAAAGCAGGAGACACAGGAGACACAGGTTCGATTCCTGGGTGGGGAAGATCCCCTGAAGGAGGGCATGGCAACCCACTCCAGTGTTCTTGCCTGGAGAATCCCATGGACAGAAGAGCCTGGTGGACGAAGGTCCATAGGATCGCAAAAAGTCGGACATGACTGAAGCGACTTAACACACACACACACGCACGTATCCCCAGTGCCTGTCACACAATAGATGCTTAATATGTAGTTAGTCAAGGAATGAGTGAACCATGCAGCTCAAGACATGTCTCTGTGGTCTTACTGAATTCTCACAACCTCAGCAGTTACAGATGTGGAAGCAGCAGCTCCAGCAGTAAAGTCGCTTGCTGGAGGACCCTGTTTCTGTTCTTAGTTCATCCAAATAATACATGGTTCAGTAGTCCCTTCTGGTTTCTGGGTACTTTGATACAGCAGTGGTCACAACAGCTTCAGCCCCTGCTCGCCCAGGATGTGGTCAAGGATTATATTATTTTTATGACAGACCTGAATACTGCATATACCATCTGCCAAATACAGATGTAGGCACTTTCCACATACCTCATTTCATCTTCCTAATAGTTCTGCCATTGTTATTCTCATTTTAGAGGTGAGCAAACTGACCTACGTGGAGAAACCGAGTTGCTGGCACTAGGTCACACTGCTAATAAAGAATCCTGGGGGAAAATTACGCTCAGAGATGCGATTGCTTATGACGAAAGACTTATCATCAGTGATGACCCAGAAAGAGGACCAGCATCTCCTTTTTTCTTTTATTTATTTATTTTTGGCTGCACTGGGTCTTCCTGGCTGCACGCGGGCTTTTCTCTAGTTGCCAGCAGTGGGGGCTATTTTTCTTGCAGAGCACGGGCTTCTCACTGCCGCGGCTTCTCTTGTGGAGCACGGGCTCCAGGCGTGTGGGCTCAGTAGTTGCGTGAAGGGGCTTAGTTGCCTTGTTTTCCGCATGTGGGATCTTCCTAGACGTGGGATCCAACCCACATCCCCTGCATTGGCAGGCAGATTCTTAAAAACTGGACCACCAGGGAAGTCTGGACCAGTATCTTCTAACTTTACAAGAAAAATAACTAGGAACCCAGAATTTGAGATTCCATTTGTTTACCACATGAGCCATGCAACATGTGGAAGCTTAGTTCCCCGACCGGGAATTGAACCCATGCCCCCTGCATTGGGAGCTCAGAGTCTTAACCACCAGGGATGTTCCCCTAGAATTTGAGGTTGCTTTTGTGAGGGTCAAATAAAGACATTTTCAGATGAACAAGACTCAGAACTTGCCTATCTAGAACGTTCCCTGAAAGAGTTAGAAGAGAATGTACTCTAGCAAGAAGCAAATGAATTCAGAAGGAAGAAGTTTATAAAAAGTAACAGAAAATTGTTAAGGGTTGAATTGTGCCCCCCCCCCCAAAGACATGTTGAGTCCTAACCTCCATTACTTCAGAATGTGACTTTATTTGGAAATAAGGTTCAATTCCTTGGTCGGGAAGACCCGCTGGAGAAGGGATAGGCTACCCACTTGAGTATCTGCAGACTTCCCTTGTGGCTCAACTGGTAGAGAATCCGCAACGGAGGAAACCTGGTTTTGATCCCTGGGTTGGGAAGATCTCCTGGAGAAGGGAAAGGCTACCCACTCCAGTATTACGGCATAGAGAATTCTATGGACTGTACAGTCCATGGGGTCGCAAAGAGTTGGACACGAGTGAGCTACTTTCACTTTCAAGGTCTTTACAGAGACAGGTTAAAATGGGGTCATTGGTGCATGCGTGCTCAGCCACTGTTTGCAACCCCATGGACTGTAGCTCACCAGGCCCCTGTCCATAGGATTTCCCAGGCAAGAATACTGGAGTGGGCTGCCATTTCCTTCTCCAGGGGATCTTCCCAGATCAGGGATGGAACCTGTGTCTCCTGCATTGGCAGGCAGAGTCTATACCACTAAGCCACCAGGGAAGCCCAGGAATTTATAAGTCAATTATAGAAATAAAAATTAATTAGAAAAAATATTTTACAGTAGGCTCCTAACAAAAGGTGAAATCAATGGATAGAGACAATATGTTCATGGATATGAAAAAAGTTGTCAATCTTCTTGTTAATTCATCAGTCCAATGCAATTTCCATCCCAATCTCAATAGGAGTTTTCAGGGAACTAGCTAGAAAAGCAGCTACTAAAATCCATCTAGAAGAGAAAATGAACAGGAATGGTAAAGACAGATCTGAAACTGAACAGAGGTGGGAGACTCCCCTCATATGATGTCAAAACATATCTAAATAAATAGCTTGGCATGG